CCCAGGGGGACAGCTTGAGGCTCTGTCTCAAAAAAAAAAAAAAAAAAAAAAAGAGGCAGAACTTCATGGCCCCTCCCTGAGGGTGGCTGCTTGGGAAGAGACTAAGCATTGAACTGCTGGAGATGCCAAGTGAGCTTAGGGTTGGGACACTGGCATGGTGCTTAGACTCTGAAACCCAGCTGCTTTGCCTTGTCTGCATAGAAAAACCGGAAGCGTCGGAACCGAAAGAAGAAGAAAAAGCCCCAGCGGGTGCGGGGAGTGTCATCTGAGAGCTCTGGGGACCGAGAGAAAGATGCAGCTCGGTCTCGGAGCTCTGACTCCCCAGCTGCTGATGTTGAGATTGAGTATGTGACTGAAGAACCTGAAATTTATGAGCCCAACTTCATCTTCTTCAAGAGAATCTTTGAGGCTTTTAAGGTAGGAGAAGCAACACACTGTGGAGGGGCAAGGACCAGCTGAGAGAGGAGACATCTTTTTAGAGTTGAGGCTCCATGTGGTCTGTCTCCTCAGCTGACTGATGACGTGAAGAAGGAGAAAGAGAAGGAGCCAGAGAAACTTGACAAACTGGAGAATTCTGCTGCCCCCAAGAAGAAGGGCTTCGAGGAGGAGCACAAGGACAGTGATGATGACAGCAGTGACGATGAACAGGTCAGGCCCAGCCCTGGTTGGAGACATGGTCTTGGGAACAGGTGGCTGATGTACACCAGAGAGGGACCATCACAAACTCCTCTGGGGCTTTGATGGCTTAAGTTTTGGGGTGGTCAGGGCAGTTTGATCCACACCTCAGGGTCCTCAAAAGAAGTGATTGTTTTGTTCTAGGAAAAGAAGCCAGAAGCACCTAAACTGTCTAAGAAGAAACTGCGCCGGATGAATCGATTCACGGTGGCTGAACTCAAGCAGGTGAGGCCCAAGATGACCCAGTAGGCCCTAGATGGAGCATAGCCAGGAGACTGCGTGAGGCACTGTTGGAACCCCCAGCGCTTTTGCTTTGGGAGGTGTTCAGGAGGTTTTTTTTTTTTCTTTCCTTGAGACAGAGTTTTGCTCTGTCACCCTGACTAGTGTGGTGGTGTCAGCCTAGCTCACAGCAGCCTCCGACTCCTGGACTCACATGATCCTCCTGCCTCAGCCTCCCGAGTAGCTGGGTTTACAGGCGCCCACCACCACACCTGGCTAATTTTTCTATTTTTAGTAGGGAATGGGGTCTCAGTCTTGTTCAGGCTGGTCTTAAACTTCTGAGCTCAAGTGATGCCCAAGTCTTGGCCTCCCAGAGTGCTAGGGTTATAGGTGTGAGCCACCATGCCCAGTCTGGGTATAGTTTTTTTGAAGAATAGAAAGGAGGAGAGCTTAAGGCTTTCTAGAGACTTGCTGTGTGTTTTCCAGCTGGTAGCTCGACCTGATGTTGTGGAGATGCATGATGTGACAGCCCAGGACCCTAAGCTGTTGGTTCACCTCAAGGCCACTCGGAACTCTGTGCCTGTGCCACGCCACTGGTGTTTTAAACGCAAGTACCTGCAGGGTAAACGGGGCATTGAGAAGCCCCCCTTTGAGCTACCAGACTTCATCAAACGCACAGGCATCCAGGAGATGCGGGAGGCCCTGCAGGAAAAGGTAGGTCCTGGCTGAGGCTTAGACCTACCCTCTGGTCTCCATTGTTCATAGCAGCCTGCTTCAAAATTTGGTACACCTGCTGTACTTGGGTCCTGATTCTTTTGTTTCCCTCCTCCCTCTGTCACCTTCCCTTTGCTAGCTCACTTGACGCCTTTCCCTGATGTACTTTGTGGCTAGAAATTCATAGTGGTTGTGTAACTTCTTAAATTTAAAGATTTCTTTTCTTTTTTTCAAGGTAAAAATCTAGTTTTTTTCTTTCTGATTAACACAAGGGTATGTGCAATTAGTTTACATTGTTTGCATTAGTAAGGTAAAGTCCGAGTTGTAGTTGAATCCTTCACCCAGAATGTGCACTGTATCGTATACCCCAACATTGTACTTGTTAGGTGGGAGCTTACCAAACCTCCTCCCCCTTCTTGAATTTAATTGCATTTTCCTTGTGTGGGCCTGTAGTTAATCTACTAGTTTCAAATTAGTATTGAGTACATGAGATGCTTGCTTTTCCATTCTTGAGATATTTTACTAACGAGCATGTTCTTCAGTTCCACCCAAGTGAATACAAAAATTTAAAGGTTTTAGTTAGATACTTTGAACAAGTAATGCTTATAAAAGTTTAGGAGGTACAAAAGAACACTGCCTTCCAGTTAAACCTCTGTCACCCAGGCCTCTTTAAAGAGAACTAATAAGATCTAACTCTTGATGAAATGGTTTAGAAAAATAATTATTGGCATACATACCTGCCTGAGGCTAGTTTTATGTGATCTATTTTGTTCAGCATGGATTATGCAATTCTTTTTTTTTTTTTTTTTTTGAGACAGAGTCTCAAACTGTTGCCCTGGATAGAGTGCCATGGCGTCGCAGCTCACAGCAACCTCAAACCCTTGGGCTTAAGCGATTCTCTTGCCTAAGCCTCCCAAGTAGCTGGGACTACAGGCGCCTGCCACAGTGCCCGGCTATTTTTTGGTTGTAGTTACCATGGTTGTTTGGCAGGCCCAGGCTGGATTTGAACCTGCTAGCTCCGGTGTATATGGCAGGAGCCCTAGTTGCTTGAGCCTACAGGTGCCGAGCTGGATTATGCAATTCTGAGGGGTTTGAGCAGGAAGGATTTTGGTAACTTTTAGACTGAGATAATCGAGGTTTCTCTTGCTCTCCTTTGGAAGTTAAAAGCCAGATTTCTAATGAGTTGAACTTGGTGCGTACCTGTTAAGGCATGTCTCTTGCCTTTCTTTGCACAGGAAGAACAGAAGACCATGAAGTCAAAAATGCGAGAAAAGGTTCGGCCCAAGATGGGCAAGATTGATATTGACTACCAGAAACTACATGATGCCTTCTTCAAGTGGCAGACCAAGCCGAAGCTGACCATCCATGGGGACCTATATTACGAGGTTTGGGAGGGGCCTGAGAGAGGCTTGCTGGGCCTTGGGGTTGTGATAGTCTCTAACCCTGGGTCAAAAGAGCTTTTGAAGGCTGGTGCAGCAGCTTCTTAGCCTTAGAATTGTGTATAACTACCCTTGGATGAGAGAGAATTTGAAGTTTTATAGTGAAGTCCTTTTGGGGGGGAGAAATGTAGACAGTGTCATTGAAATAATTTGTGGTGAGTGGTTTAGGGATAGAGGGGCCAAGTTCAGATGGTCTTAGGAAACACTTAATATTGGGGGTGGAAGAAAAGTTTTTATTTTTTTCTGATCCTTGAAATATTAGTCACCATGATATGAAATATTTTAGGTGCAAGGATCCTAGAGATCATCCTATTGAATGCCCTCTTTTTATAGAGAAAGCAGGTCATAATGGGCCATGTTCTCACTGTGGGTTAATGATAGCACTGGGGATCTGGCCTTTCTCCTCAGCACTGACCTTTATTCCCTCCCTCCCCTTGGCCAGGGAGAGTGATGAGAAGTAGTGAGAGCAAGTCCGACAGTGGGGTTCTTTGTCCAATGTGAATTAGAACTTCCTATCCTTGTTTTCATGTCCTCCTGTTGTTGAGTTCCCAGTGTGTGTCTGGTGTCCACAATATAGCATGCTCTGCTTTTTCCTCAGGGCAAAGAATTTGAGACGCGACTGAAGGAGAAGAAGCCTGGAGATCTGTCTGATGAGCTAAGAATTTCCTTGGGGATGCCAGTAGGACCAGTAAGTGTCAGTTAGCTGGCTGGGGGAGCAGAGAAGAGGGCAGCAATTGGAGTGGAGGGGAGAAAAGGGGTTAGGGTTAGGCAGATGGTGTCCTATTCTCTTTTCCCTGCAGAATGCACACAAGGTCCCTCCCCCGTGGCTGATTGCCATGCAGCGATATGGACCACCCCCGTCGTACCCCAATCTGAAAATCCCTGGCCTGAACTCACCCATCCCTGAGGTGAGCACAGTCTTTCCTTTCATTCTTGGCTGCCTCTGCTTTTTAACTAGAAGATGATTTTTGTTTTCCTTCTCTTAATTCCACTGTGTGTTCCTTTATTTCTTTCTCAAACTTTTTATTGACAGAATAATGTAGTATTTGTATATCGTGTCTTTTTTTTTTTTTATTTCTTATAGCTTAACTATGTACATTAATGCAGTCAGGGAGTGCAGTATGCTGTTTTCATATACATTTTGAAATACTCTCATCAAACTGGTTAACATAACCTTCATGTCATTCTCTTAGTTACTGAGTTAAGACATTCATACTCTGCTTTTAGAAAGATTCACTTGTACCCTTGTAAGATAAACCATACAGGTGACCCCACCAATGTCTCTTTTTTTTGTTGTTGCTGCAGTTTTTGTCCAGGGCTGGGTTTGAACCCACCACCTCTGGTATATGGGGTTGGTGCCCTACTCCCTGAGCCACAGGCGCTGCCCAGTATATCGTGTCTCTTTAAAAAGTCCAATAATGGGTTTTGTTTTTTGAAAAAGGGACATGCCTGTCATAAAATATTCAGTCAGAATTGACAGGTACAAAGATTAAACAAATCATCCACGATTTCACCACTCAGTAATAACAAAGTTTAACATTTGATCAGTATACTTTCAGGCATCTCTGGTAGATACATGGACTGCCAAAAATAATTTTCTCTTAGTGGCATCAAATTTATTCTTTTTTTTTTTTCAGAGACAGTCTCACTATGTCACTCTGGGTAGAGTGCCATGGCATCACATCTCACAGCAACCTCAGACTCCTGGGCTAAAGCAATTCTCTTGCTTCAGCCTCTCAAGTAGCTAGGACTACAGGCGCCTGCCAAAACACCTGGCTATTTTTTGTTGCAATTCTCATTGCTGTTTTAACTGCCCGGGCCCAGGCTGGAACCTGCCACCCTCAGTATATGGGGCTGGCGCCCTAGCCACTGAGCCACAGGCACCACCTCTTATTTCTAAACAAAACATTAAGTTAAAAAAAAATAAGATAAGGGGAGGCACCTGTGGCTTGAAAGGGTAGGGCGCCAGTCTCATATGCTAGAGGTGGCGGGTTCAAACCTAGCCCTGGCCAAAAACTGCAAAAAAAAAAAGATAATAAAATCATTAAAGTGAAAAAAATTTCTTTCCTTCAATAGATGTAGTTTCTAAATAAGCCAGCTTTCCAAAGTCAGGAAAAATCAGTAAGAAATTGGAGTCAGATTTTTAAAGTACATGTTTTGGTTTCAGGCAGAATAGACTACCATGAAAGATGAGGTTATTAGCATACTTTCTTGCTCTGTACCCCCATCCTGTTGCTTTCAGATTTTTATCACGTAGGAATTTTGCTTTCTAATTCTGTCCTACAGTCAAACTTCCCGAGTTCCAAAATGTTAGTTCTGTGCTTTGAAGCATGACTTTGCTGTAGGATTTCAGTGTTTCTTTTGGAGCCTTGAAGTAGAACCAGTGTGTGCACCATCTCTTGCAGAGCTGTTCCTTTGGATATCATGCTGGTGGCTGGGGCAAACCCCCTGTAGATGAGACTGGGAAACCACTCTATGGGGATGTGTTTGGAACCAATGCTGCTGAATTTCAGGTATGGAGTATGTATGGGAGGGCTTGGTTTTATTTAATGTCATGAAGGTTAGAAGGATAGTTGGTTTATAGCTTTATTATCAAGAGTGCTGGGTGTTCTGAAATTTGAAAGTCTAAAAAAGGGCATATATTTTCCGGAGATGTTAATGCAAGTTCCCCATTGGAATATGAGCTCTAGGTAAGTAAAGATTATTTTTTGTTTACTTTTACATCCCCTGAAGTTACAACAGATAGGCACACATTGGGTACTTAATAAACATTTGTCAAATGAATGAATGATCTCTTTCAGACCAAGACTGAAGAAGAAGAGATTGATCGGACCCCTTGGGGGGAACTGGAACCGTCTGATGAGGAGTCTTCAGAAGAAGAAGAAGAGGAGGAAAGTGATGAAGACAAACCAGATGAGACAGGCTTTATTACCCCTGCAGACAGGTGGGGGAAACATAGTCTGCCTCTCTGAAGTGGCCTGTCTTTGGGTACTTTCTCTTTACTCCAGAGTTTGATCCTTTTTACAGTGGCCTCATCACTCCTGGAGGTTTCTCTTCAGTCCCAGCTGGAATGGAGACCCCTGAACTCATTGAGCTGAGGAAGAAGAAGATTGAGGAGGCCATGGATGGGTGAGAGAACCAGGCAGGGCTGAGAGGGGAGGACTTTTATTTCCCTTTGGCCTCTAGGTAAGCCCTGCCTCACGTTTTTCTTCTTTAACAATTATTAAACACCAGCTTTGTGCCAGACACTACTCTAGGCAAGGGGGAGTCAGCAGTGAAAAAGACAGGTGAGGTAAACATATAATCAGAGAAGAAGGTAATTTCAGATGTAGATAAAGATGGTGAGGCAGAGGAAACTGGATACTGAGATATAGAGGGACATGGGGGTGGGAAAGCCTCCAGGAAGGCCTCATTGAGGAGGTGGTATTTGAACTGAGACCTAAGTGTTAGGAGAGAGCCAGCCACAGGATGATTTGGGGCAGAAGTAACAGTAAGTGTAAGCAATTGCAAAGGCTCTGAGACCCACGGTTTGCACAGTCTTAAAATATTAGGTATATTAACATGCAGATTTGTTATGTCTTCTTCTTGAATGAATCCTGTTATCATGAAATGACCTCTTCATTCATTCTGTTCTTTCTTCCCTTTTTCCTGTCTTTTATTTTTACCATTTTATAGTTAATTAAACATTTCTTTGACTCTATCTCCATTGTCAGATTAACTACTTTAGGATTTGTATGTGCTTTTTTTTCTTCTTGAGACAGAGCCTCAAGCTGTCTCCCTGGGTAGAGTGCTGTGACATCACAGCTCACAGCAACCTCCAACACCTGGGCTCAAGCGATTCTCCTGCCTCTGCCTCTCAAGTAGCTGGGACTATAGGAGCCTGCCACAATATATATGTATATATATTTTTTTATTGCAGCCATCATTTTTGTTTGGTGGGCCCGGGCTGGATTCGAACCCACCATTTCAGATTTATGTGGCTGGCGCCTTAGCCGCTTGAGCCACAGGTGCCCAGCCTCTGAGCCTGTATGGACATTTTTAACATGCCATAACTTCAAGTGATAATAAGCCATTTCTGGATAATATTAAGAGTCTTATGACAGTATACTCTTCATTTCTTTTCTTCCAGCCTTTGTACCATTATTGTTATATTTTACTTTCACATATGTTACAAATATATTAAATGGTCAATAATCTTTTAGAGAGATTTAAATAAGAATTATGTATGAGCCCATGTAGTTACTATTTTTAGGTATTTCATTTCTCGTGTATATCTACATTTCCATCTGGTATCATTTTCCTTCTGCCTGAAGGGCTTCTTTTAACATGGCTTGGTATATGGGGCCAATGGTCTTGAATTCTTTCAGCTTAGGTAGTTTTAAAAAGTTTCTTTATTTGGCCTTTATTTTTGAAAGGTTTTTGCTAGGTATAGTATTATAGGTTGACTATTTTTCTCTTTAAGTACATTTAAGATAGTACTCTAGTTCAGGGGTGTCCAACCCTGTGGCACACGAACTGCAGCAGATTATTTGAGGCCTGATTTGCTCATCTGTGGCATCAGATATGACTGCATGGGCCTTTTTTTGTTCATCACCTTTCATTACTGTTTGTGTATTTAATGGGTAGTCCAAGACAATTCTTTCTTCTAATGTGTGACGGAAAAAAAGAAAGGTTGGACGCTCCTGCTATAGTGTTCGTCTTGTATTGTTTCTGATGAGAAAAGTGTTGTTTATTCTTACCATTATTTGTATATAATGTAGTGTTTTTATCTAGCCATTTCAAGATTTTTCTTTTTGCTGGTTCTGGACAATTTGACTATGATGTACCTTGGTGTAGTTTCCTGGATGTTTCTTCTCATGGAGTTTATTGAGCATCTTGGATCTATGAGTTTATACTTTTAATTCACTTTGGAAAAATTCTGGCCAATTTCTCCCAGTAATTTTTTCTATTCCCTTTTTTCTCTCCTCTCCTTTGGGAATTCCAGTTATACATCTGTTAGGTCTGTGGATGGTGTCACATTGCTCACTGAAGCTCTTGTTCTTTTTTCTTTTTTTTTCTTTCTGAGGCAGGATCTCACTCTGTTGCTAGGCTGGAGGGCAGTGGCATCATCATTGCTCACTGTAACCTCAAACTGGGCTCAAGTGATCCTTCTACCTCAGCCTCCTAGAGCTGAGACTATAGGTGTCCACCACCATGCCCAGTTTATTTTTAACTTTTGTAGATATAGGTTCTCACTGTGTTGCCTAGGCTGGTCTTGAACTCCTGGGCTCAAGCAGTCTTTCCACTTTGGCCTCCCAAGAGTGCTAGGATTATAAACACACCTGTCCTTCTATAATTTCTGATCTCACATTAATCCCATACAATGTAGTTTTCATCTCTATAAGTTTGATTTGGGTCTTCTTTTTATATATTCTTTGTCTCTTATTTAAGTTTTTGAACATATGGAATGCAATTATAATACATTTTTTAAAAAAAGAGGGTCTCATGTTGCCCAGGCTGGACTTGAACTCATGGGCTCAAGTAATCCTCCCACATCAGCTTCTCAAGTATCTGGAACTACAGGCATGCCCATACCACAACACCTGGCTTATAACATTTTAATGTACTTTCCATGCTGATTTTACCTCTTATGCATTGATTTCAATTGGTTAGTCTCCTGACTGTGGATATTATTTTCCTGTTTCTTTGTATGCCTGCTAATTTCTGATTGAATGCTAGGCTTTGTGAAATTTACCTTCTTGGGTCTAGGATACATCTTTAGCTTTGTTCAGAGATAGAAGTATTAGGAAACAGATTGCTCGTTTTAGGTCTTGTTTGGGTTCATCAGGTGAGTCTGAAGCAGTGCTTAGTCCTCCCTATAGTGAAGCACAAAGCTTTCCAGTAAGCTCTGCCCAGTGCTTTGTCAATTAGAAGGTTTTTCATTCTGGGAGTCAGCACTGTTGGTAGTCCTTGAGTGCAGGTGCTGTTACTGCTAATCCTTTTTGGGGCAAGATTTTCCCAGCCGTGGTAGTTTCCTGCCCAGTACTCACTTGAGTACTTGAGGACATTCTGTGGGTCTCTTGAGTTCTGTTGTGCTGTTTTCTCCAGTACTGTCCTGCAAATTTTTGCCACCATGATCTTCTTGGACTTTCAGCTTCATCTTCTCAACTCATGGCATTCTTTGGGCTATGCATGGGTCTCTTATTCATTCTGTGGTTTAGAAACACTCGGCAGTCTGGGAACAATTGAAAGGCTCACCCCATTTATTTCTTGTCTTGCAGAAATCACTGTCCTTTGTTGCTGCTCTGTGTCTAATGTCTTAAAAACCACTGTTTGATATATTTTGCTCATTTTTTGGTTGTTTCAGGAAACAAGGTAAATCTGGTTTCTGTTATTCCTTGTTAGAAAGCAGAAGTCTTTTTTTTTTTTTT